GCAGTTGAGAAGGAGGAGGAAAGGGGAAAGAAGGAAATAGGATAGAAGGAGGAAGGAAGAGGGGTGGGATTGAGGCCTGTGGCACCCCCCTCATTCCCACAGGGGAGACCAGGGGGCTTCCAGCAGTGGCTTGGTCATTGCTGGGCTGGGTACAAATGTCAGGGGGTGTGGCAAAAGTCCTCACCCCCCACCACCTCAGCTTGGGAACCTGAGGCTGTTCTTGCTGAGGCTCAGTGGTCATCACTGGGCTGGTTGCTCATGGTGCGGGGGGGACCAAGCCCACCGACCTGGCTTGGGAGAGCCGGGGGCACTTCCCACGGCTGCTTGGTATTTGTCATTGGACTGGTTGCATGTGTCAGGGAGGCATGACGGAGGCCCTCAGCCCCCACCACTCTGGCTCAGGGAGAACCTGGGGCACTTCCTGCGGTGGCTCAGTGGTGGTTACTGGGGTGGTTGTGCATGTCGGGGTTGTGTGGCTGAGGCCCTCAGCCCCCACCCTCGGGACTGGTTGCAGGTGTCAGGGGTCATACTGAGGCCCCCATCCTTCCCCACTTTCTGGCTTGGTAGCCCAGGGGACTTCCCGTCCTTCTAGGTGTTATAGGTGTTCTTTGGTGAAATGAGACCTTTACTAGTTAATATCAAACTTTGTCTCTGGTTGTGGGTACTTTGGTTTTTTTTCCAGTTCTGTGTTGGATTATTTGCTGTTCCCACCACTTAAACTCGGCACTAGTAACTAATTTCTTGTCCTTTGCTTACTTCTAAAATGGGGGAACTTCCTGTGGGGACCAGTACTTGAGCTGTGTGGTTTAGCTAAATTACTGCTTTGCTGCTGATTCCCTAGGGAAGGCTTTTTGTGCAGCTCAGATTTTAATGGTTGACTTTATGGGAACTTCCAGGTCTAGAGAAATCGGTACACCTGGGTTGTGTAGAAACTGGTCTGGGCCTGAGTCTTTTCATCAATCTGCACCCCATGCAATTCTATATTCCTGACCAGTCTCCTCTGAGTGGTCCTATGCCGACTGGGGGCAGATCAACTGTCTTTGCTGTGCCCGTTTTCGCCTGGCCACTGTCTGTGTTCCAAACACTTCCCATGGGATGGGTCATGCTCCGGTCCCTTGTGATGACTCACAGGCCTCTGAGTGGCTCCTTTTTTTTCAGTTGTTCTGGCTTCTCATTCCTATGTGGGTCCACGGGAACCCTATTAGTGGGGCCACCAAGGCCCTCTTTTCCCCTGCCGCCTCCAAGCAACTTCATACAAAGGGCACAGCTGCAGCTTTTGCCAGCTCCTGCTCCATGTGCTCAGCAGCTCCAGCCTGGAAACAGCCAGAGCAGTTTTTTCTTTCTCTCATCGTGGCTTCTCCCACCTTCATGTGCTCCATAGGTCTCTCCTCCTCTATCCTCTGAGCTCTAGTGGCCCCAGGTTGGCTGTTGTTGTTTGTTTATAGTTGTAAATCGGTTGATTTGTGGGAGAGAGTGACACTGGGGACCATCTATTCCACCATCTTAACCTGAAGAACAAATTTTTATTTTAGTTCCCCAAACCAAAACATTGTGTTGTCTTGTTTTTAAAAACAGCCAGAGCAGTTTTTTCTTTCTCTCATCGTGGCTTCTCCCACCTTCATGTGCTCCATAGGTCTCTCCTCCTCTATCCCCTGAGCTCTAGTGGCCCCAGGTTGGCTGTTGTTGTTTGTTTATAGTTGTAAATCGGTTGATTTGTGGGAGAGAGTGACACTGGGGACCGTCTATTCCACCATCTTGACCTGAAGAACAAATTTTTATTTTAGTTCCCCAAACCAAAACATTGTGTTGTCTTGTTTTTATTTTGGTCTTTGTGGATGAAGTTGTATTTCCTCTGGTAGCACACATTCATTAGGAGCCATGTGCCCATCCATTCATTCAGAGACATTTGCTGGGCCCCAATCCAGGTGCTGAGAATACAGCAATGAGCACAACATGGGAAATCTCTGCTCTCCCACGGAGTGTATGCCTGTTACAGGTGTTGGCTTCCTTCCCTTGATTGCTGGATTTCCTTCTTTTCTTCCTTCCGTTTATTTACTTTGCCTACCCCTGGTCCGTATACCTTGAGAGGGGGCATGGACCCTCATGCAATAGCAACCCCACAGTTGCTAGAAGGCCCACAGACTGCATCTATGGACCAGCATTCTACCAACCAGGATGTTGCCCGTCCTCTACCGAGGCATCTCAGTTCCTCCAGAGTCAGGAAGACCCAGGTTGCCCTCTGAGGTGCACACGTGCACACACCGGTGCTCCTCCCAAAGTCCGAGCCTCCCTACTACTGTTCCTCCTTCCTACCTAACATAAAGGATACAATGCCCTACACCAGTCCTCCTCTTTAGAGATCCTGGCAGAGCCTGTGTTCGTGTGGACAGCTCCAGGCCTTGCCTGTGTGTTGGTCCCAGCAGCCATTTTGTTCAGGAGAGTCAGGTGAAGGGGAGTTGAGAAGAATGTGAAGAACGTCCTCAGGCTACCATTTCACCATCCAGTGCTTTACTTGGCAACTTTTCCTACAGAGCTGACTCATATCAGCAGAGTGAGGGTGACTCCAGGCCTGGGTGGGCGTGGGCTAGCTGAATGACTAGGGATCCGTGGTGTGTAGATCCCTTCACTACTCCAGGTCTACACTTTTGTAGCCCTGAAATAAGGGGAGCTGGACCCGATGGTTTCTTAGGTTCCTCCGGCACTAAAAATCTACAGGTTTATGCTCTACAAAATGTCTAGAGTAGTGGATGAGGACAGGTATGGAGTTCTTCACCGCATTAGTCATACAGATACTCTCAGACACCTGTGGGGACCGTTCCTGTTTTCCCCACTAGGACCAGGTGATATAATACCCAGAGCTCATACTCTAAATATTCCTTGACAAAGGGCTGAACTATCTAATGCCTCCAAAATATTTCTGTGTTAAAGAACAGCACACTCATAGCCCCAAAGCCCAAATTCTTCTCTTTGAATCAATTTGTGCCCCAAAGTTTTATGACTCCAGGCTGTTTGGGCTTTTGCTTAGATAAGAAGCCTGCAGAACAGCACAGGGCTCATCCTTAAGAAACATCAAAAATCACCTGGGGCACCCATTAGAAATGCAGATGCCCAGGCCTTTTACCCCAAACCTGTTAAAGCAGACTCTCTGATGGTATTGGGTACAGGAATCTGCACTTTAAATAAGTGGCAGGGGCCCGCGGCGCTTCTTTGAGGCTCTTCTGATTTCCCCTCAAGTTAGCTAGCAGGGGTCTTGGGTGAGCGTCAACAACTCCAGTATCCTAGAGGCAGCAGGAGCCCACACTTCTGAAGGAAGGACAGGAACACATGACGTTCAGCAGGAGACGAGGCTGTCTCGCTGCAGAGCCAAAAATGTGACTATTTAGTGCAGTGGTACTCAAGTCTGGTCCCTGCACTGAAGACCTCAGTATCACCTGGGAACTTGTTAGAACTGCAAATTTTCAAGCCCCATCGTCCCAGCCCAGTCAGCAACACTGGGGGTGGGGCCGAGCATCAGTTGTAACAAGACTCCAGGTGGTTCTGGCGCATCTAAAGTGGGAGACCACTGACCTAGAAAGCCCGTGAAGCAGGCACCAAGACTCAGCACATCACTCTGAGGTCTCTCAGCCTCAGGCCATCAAGACTTTGAAGCCAGCCCAGAGATTCCTGCAAGTCTTTATTAGATTCTCCTCCTCTTCTTCATGACTTTCGGCTCCTCCAGAGTGGCCTTGAGGGCCACGCCTTCTTATTCCTTGAGAATTTGTCACCTTCCCACAGAAGGAATTTCTCTGGAGATGCAGCACAGAGGATCTGAAGCTCTTTATAGCAGAAGCTCTTGAAGTAGAAACTTCTAGAGGAACATAATACAAACCCCAGCAGAAGTCCCAAGCTTTCCTTTGAGTCACTAGAGAGAAGACTGGGCAGTCAGGAGTGGAAACAGCCGACAGTGTGGGGAAATGGCAAGCGTCCTGACCGTCCGCTGCCTGCAGGTGCGATCAGATGAAGAGGAGCAGTGTGAGCACGCTGGTGGAATCAGAATCGTGATGGCCCTCCAGCGCCACAGCCACCCTGGCCCTGCTCAAACACCACGCTGAACATGCAGAGGGGGGCATTTCAAAACAGTCACCTGGCCCACCCTTCACTCTCCTCCCTCCAAGATGCATCCTGAATGGACCAAAGAATATAAAAATGGGGAAGATCTATATTAGTATTGGAGAACAGGGAAGGGGCCACCAGTCATCCCGAAACTCAGGAATTTCTGTGAGAACTAGTGCATTCGGGACCAGAGTGGGGAGAGGGCTGCCTAACTGCTTATGCCACATGTGGGAAGGGGGGTGCAATGTCCCCAGCCCCACTGCAGCAGACACCCACAACTGTTGATCACATCAGCTTTCTTGCAGAGCTAGTGAAGGCTGACTTCCCTATTATAAACAACAGTTGGGACAACTATGTGGGATCCTTAAGCAAACCTGCAAATGGAATCTTAGACTTCTTGATACTTTCTTTCTAAATAAATGAAGGAGCAGCTTGTCCATCTGTAATGCAAATAAGACAAAAGGAAGCTGTGGCTGAGCTTCACCGCAGGTCCACAATTGCTTCCGAGGGGAAGAGGTGAGCCAGATCCCCACCCTGGCCCCCTGCGTTTGCTGCAGTGATGGCCAGATATTAGCTTAGGAGATCAGCTACACTCATCTTCCCCTTCTCCACCTTGCTCTCTCTGGGAACCAGCACCATTTGGAAACCTGGACTGTCACTTTTAAGCGAAAGGAGGAGAATGGCTAATATTTAGATATTATTTGGGCAACACTTTAGGCAGAGAATAATGAACACAAGAGATGCTGTACTGGTTGCAGCCTCTTGATGTCCTAAAATTTATGTGTGCATTGCAATTAAAATTAAAAAGCAGTCTTGTTCTATCTAGAGATAGAAGTGATCCTTGAATGTGGAAACCCCTAACACAGACAGGACTGTGGTTGCCTAATAAACATCAGAATCCATAAAAACAAGCTTGAAAATGAAATTATAGTAACAATGCAGTGATTACAAGCCATTCAATATTTCATAAAGAGCACAATAAGTTCAGAAGTCATTCGCATACAAGCCCTGTAGAAGAACCCAAGTGATATTAAAGGCTGCTGGTTATTACAAGCCAGTGGCATTCAGGAGATCATGTTATCTTCAGTGCCTTCACAAAAATGTATCTGAGGCACTCAAACATCAAGTCTACTCAAATAAGCTTCCCAAGCAGCTTTTCGGTACATCTTGGCTGCTTCCAGACGATTAGCTGCTGATATTATGCCCCGACCTACAATGATGATATCAGAACCTCGCTTGCCGATAACTTCTTGTGGGCTGTTGTACTGTTGGCCAAGATTATCCCCTGCAAAAACACAAAAGCTACTGTTTAGCATAATACGAAAATCAGAAAACTTGTCACACGACTTCTCTGAAAAATATCTAATCAGCTTTAAATAAAAAATATGCATCTGCTTTCCATTCCCCTCTTGTATAGCAGAGGTAAAAAGAGGAGCTGAAGAGACTCACTGGATCAGCAAAATCCCCCACAGAGAGAAAGATGCTAACCAACTTCTTTTCAATGTCTACTTCTAAAGCATTTATAGTTCAACAATATTAAAAAACAAAGAAATAAATCTGTGTTGCCAAGAAAGGTTTAATACGATACCAAAAAATAAACATTGGCCTCACATTGAAGAAAATTTTAGTATACATCTCAATCATCATGATGCACTGTTGGGAAAGTCCTCCCAAGCATCTAACCTGACCACTACCATACATATGAACTTTCTTTCTTTTTTTTTTTTTTTAAAGATGACCGGTAAGGGGATCTTAACCCTTGACTTGGTGTTGTCAGCACCACGCTCACCCATGAGAGCTAACCGGCCATCCCTATATAGGGATCTGAACCCGTGGCCTTGGTGTTATCAGCACGAAACTCTCCCGAGTGAGCCACGGGCCGGACCTACACATGAACCTTTCTGCCACAACCCCATTAAGTGGTCACACAGACTATCACAAACCCTAATCCTTAATTTTTGTTTTTTCGTTATTAAATTCCGCTGTTCTAGAAACATTCTATTAAATGGCTTAGCTTTCAAATCCAAGATGCTTTAAATATCCCTAAAAGCCTATATCCTAACTGTATTATCTAGTCAAAGAATTGTGGGGATTTACAAACAACACTAACAGATGACAAGTACAGAGTGCTTACTCGGTGCCAAGACCTTGTTTAAGTGCTTTACGCATTATCTCACTGAAACCTCTCAGCTATCCTATGAGGTCATACTGTTATCCTCATTTCACAGATCAAGAAAATGAGGCTAAAAGAAGTGAAATGACTTGTCCAAAGATACATGGCTGCCAAATGGAAGGGCCAGAAACCCAAATCTATCTGACTCATAAAACATTTAGCACAAATGTAGAGTTTAAAAAATTCCAAGAGTTATTGAATATTAAGGCAGCTATCACAAAGCCTTACGTAGGCAAGTCGTTCTTCTGAGGCCTATTCATTCTTTATTCTTTGGGGTACATCGACTACCCATTAACCCATTTATTTGAATTCTCATCAGCCTGTTAGTTTAGTTTTCTTCCTGATTAACTTCCTGTATAAAAATATTTAATTAAAAACAAAACAAAACAAAAAAACAAAAAGACAGTTCCTTCTTTTTCTTAAGTATGCTTATATTATCTATATAAAATAATTAGCTCCTTCAAAATTAATGGGTATCTACTAGTTCTAGTATTTAAGGATTTAAAAAGAAACTCATACCCTGCTTGATGTTATAAACCTCAACATCAGTTTATCTTCCCAGTGTCAGACACACTCTTTCATCTGTCTCTATATAGCCCATTGTCCATTCCTTCAACATTTGCACAGTCCTAGGGGATACACGTTTCTTTAGGAGCTTTTGGTCTAGTACAAGAGTATTCAAGAAACACTACATGTACAAAAATATATACAAGAATGTTCCCGGTTTGAAAACAATCTAAATGCAACCTCAGGGGAATGGTTAAATGCATTATGGTGCAATCATAACTAGGAAACACTACAGAGTAGTAAAACAAATGGGGTGAATATAGCTGCACATATACGAAAAGTTCTCCAAACCGTGTGCATGTTAGCACATGCAAAGCCAAAGGTCCGGAAGAATACACATCACACCAGTTATGTGATTATCTCTCGAGAAGGAAACTGGACAAGGGAAAGAATGGTGTGAAGAAGAGGTGGGTATGAGTTATGTAAGAATGACTAGTAGAAAATCTACTTTTCTCTTAATATTTTTAAAGGTATCTTTTGAAATTTGCAATGGTAAAAACAGAAAATCAGAGCTGTCAACTTGACAAATTCTGCTGAGGGGTGATAAGCACAGTTATTTTCATTTAAAATAGCTTTTGCAAACTGAGAACCCTAACGGTCCCAGTTCCAACCCTCAACTTCTTCAGCCTAACCCATAAGGAAGGAAAGAGATGGAAGGTGGGACAGAATAAACACCAGTGACTGTGATGAGCAACCGTTCTTGTGTAATAACCAACAGAGGAAAAATAACACATTTCCAGGTTATCATTTCTTCCTTATTCAAAACCAAAGCAGTTTTAATGAGTCCCATATTACATTCAAATATGTATATTTTTATAACCTAGATTACTCTTTATTGAATAACAGACTATCAGTGAGAAAATTGGCACTGCTTTTTAGCCAATACAACTACATTTGTCAGACTGCTGAAAGTATTACATGTTTGAATGAGTTTGGGGAACATGACAGAATCATAGTTATCCAAACTGAAGATTTGTAATAGACATTAAACTGAAGATTCCTAATAGACATTAACACATCAAAGAATCTGCAAAGTCCTCTAGCAAAGAAACAAATGTTTAGTTTTGTTTAGCCTAGGGCTTTCCAAATTTCCTTAAACATAGAATACCTTCTTTGGGCAGCATATTCAGAACACTATCTGGGAAACATAAACATAAAATATCAATATTCTGGGCATATTTTAACAAAAAGTCACTTTCTAAATCTTTATCCTAAAATTAGACTGCAAGTTGTCTTGCAAATCCAGGTCAGTATCACCAGGCCCAAGGCCTCATTCATCATGGTTCTAGACTAAGAAGGCTTCTCTTTAGCAACTTTTTAATAACATGCAAAGTTTTATTTTGCCTGACATGGGTAAGGAAGTGTTTTGGAAAGAGGCATGACTAATGAATGGATTTACCTCCTGCTTCTAATTGAACTCCTGGAGTCAAGTGAAGAAATTCTGGCTTCATGCTTACTCGGGAGCCAGAAATAAAACCAACCACAAATTCAGAATGCTCTTCAGCCATTCTAATCTAAATGGAATATAATAGGACATATTACAAGAAAACAGTAAATCACACAAAATAATGTTCTATGAAAGCAAAAAACCACTCTATTAACTAGTCAGAAACTTTGCTGTATTACAGATGCCTTTCTCATTTCCTATTATATACAAATGTATCTGAAACAGGTCATCTTAAAAATGAATCATGATAATGAAACATACTTGTTTCATTAAGATCCTGAAATGACCCCTTCCCACCACCCGAACCATACTTAAAAACATCAAAAATCCTATATTATGTGCATCTAAAGTTAAGATGCTGCATAACTACTCATTCGTAATAATGCTTGGTGGCCCACCTGCTCCCCAAAAGGATTTGAGGTGAGTACTCCAGAACACATTACAATGGTATTAATTCACATTCAAGGCTTACTGCCTATCAACACAGGGTGCTTATATCCAAAGGCAGCCATCATATAAAAACAGCTATGTTGTCAAGAGCTAAAGAAATCTCTCTCACCTCCACTGCTTTCCCACTTCTTTAATATTTGCTACTAATTGGTCTCCCCAATTTCTATACTATTACCTCACATTTATAAAAGTCTCTTTAGAAAGTCTGCCTGGCTTTCGGATTTGGCTCTTCCCTGAGACTCACATTGTTACATTCTTGCCACCAAGTGCTACCACAACAAAGTGATGTCTTGTCCTTCAGCCAGACCCAGACTCAAAGAGTGCCAAATATTAGCAATGACTCATGACCCCTCTGCTGTGAGACTTGGGAAATCAGACATTTATGTCAATTCAGGGGTGGGGTTAGAACCTGACCCTAGGACCACGTGAGCTCTTAACATCTCCACATACAGTCTTTGAAGTAATATGAAAAAATAAAAATTCCCATGGCAATTTTTTAAAGTAATATATTCTTTAAAATATCTGTATAGGTGATTTATCCATCTTTCTAGGTGACTATCCAACCATGAAATTTACCCACAGGAAAATGTGAAGAGGAACTTTTTAACTAGATAATTAGCCATCTCATACTTTTTTTTGTAGTGCAGGTTGGAGATGGTGCAGGGACAGGCATAACATGTATGGTGTTATAGGAACATTTAAAATGGAGTTAGTTATTGGAGGAAACAATGCATCTGGACTCTAGTTTAGAGCTTTTCCCATACACTACCAACTAATATCAAAGACAGAATAAGAGAAAGCCACTGCACATGGGCGCTGTCATGAGAGTGTGCACCTCCACGGGCCTCAGGAGATTCGGAGAAAATGCACTTCTGGGAAGCTCTTCTCAGCCTCACTTTCAACTCATGAGATGAGAAAGACAACTATCTTAAAAGCCAGGTAGGTAAAGGTAGATGTTCATTTGACTACCTATCTGTGTCTCAATGTTTTTCTCAGTACAATTCAAATCCCTTAAGTGTCTACTACAGTACATAAAGTGCTATTAACTATCAAGGGACTCTATCCAACTAGTCTTAATATACTGTCACACTAACAATAGCTGAATTTTGGGGGACGGAGGTTCCACAGACCCCAGATTAAGATATGTTCTTGCCCTCTAGCATGCAGCCTGACAGCGCTGGCCGCCTCTCACCCCAGTCCGTCCGTCACTTACCGCTGCTGCAGTGTAACTCCCCGTGGCCAGGGAGCCAGCAGAGCTCATTTCCGCAATGAGCAGGCACCCCCGATGCAGAGGCAGGCCCACCTCTCGCAGGCCTTTCACAACTCCTGAGCCTGGCACCACGTGAGCATTTACTAGATCTGCCCAGGAAGCTATTTTAAAGACACCACCTAAGACGAAGTGGGAAAAAAGTTATTTGCCAGTTTTCAAACACAACCTCTAAATTTTTGCTATACGAGCCAACTACAGTATGAAATAATCTCCTAGTAACATGTCAAAAGAAAGAGTCAAACACTTCAAAAACTTTAGTGATTGTCAGTGAACCCATAGTTCCATGTGTGAAAATGTCAGTCCACCTGTCAACTGGGTGAGAGATCACAATGAGAAAAATTCTTGCAAGTTCTATACCTGGTTTATCAGGAACACTGATAAGACTTTTCCCTTGCGGGCTGAAGCTGTGACCAAGAAAGCTCATGCAGTTCGAAATGGACTCCAGTGAAGAGAGGCATTTACTGAGGCTAAGAATATCAACATTCTCAAGTTCTTCTTGAAGATAACAAATTTTTACTCTGCAGGGATCTCTCAGCAACTTTGCTATCTCTCAATATTTCTATGTGTTCCTTAGCTCTCCTTAGCTATTTTAATTTCAACAGCTGACAATAAAAACCCTGGTTTTTTGAAAAAATTATATGCAAACCTGAAGAAAGTTTATATAACTCCAACATCAGTCAATAAGCTAAACTAAGCTAAGCAAAGTGATAATGGTAGGACATCTTAAGCACATGAAGGAAGTCACATATAGACAAATCTATTCTAAAGAAATAGCTTAAGAATATGCATGCCTTACTTTAAGAAAAATTAAGTTATCTCAAAGATGCCTATGATAAGTGTTAAATAACATGACCAAATATCTGTTAGAAGGTTAAGTAAAAAAAGCATTAGATATACATAGTATGATCACATCTTTGTAAAAACATGACAGAAAATTGCATAGAAGAATGGGTAGTAAAACTAAGCATTTTTTTCAACCAACACATGCACTATTTTGAGTCCTACTTGACTTTAAAATAAAAAAAAGGATGTACATCAACAGATCTTTTTCTGCTGAAATGAAATCTTATCATTTTATACTACTTTTTCATCGTTTCCTATTATCTGCAATTTTCATTCAAAACTCACCATGTTCTGCCAGGGCCAATATCTGTTATCAACAGATCTTTTTCTGCTGAAATGAAATCTTATCATTTTATACTACTTTTTCATTGTTTCCTATTATCTGCAATTTTCATTCAAAACTCACCATGTTCTGCCAGGGCCAATATCTGTCATTGAACCTGTCCAGAACCCATGTACCCTTCCTCTGGTATCAGCACACCCATTTTCTTTAGGGGAAATACTCCTGCCCAGTTCTCAGTTCAAGAAGTTTAAATGGAGTTAACAACCTCACATTTGCAGGAGGAGGCATATTACCCAGGTTAACTGATGAAAGTGTTCTAAATCCTAGGCCAGAGTGACTGGTTTGGGGTAGGCACTTGGAGTGTGCCTACCTGAGAAAGAAGTCAACAGAGAAGGAAGCAGAGCTGGGAGATGGAGAGAAAAGCAAGTTCAGAAGATATCACTTCAGGGCCAGCCGGTGGCTCACTCGGGAGAGTGCGGTGCTGATAACACCAAGGCCAAGGGTTCGGATCCCACATAGGGATGGCCGGTTAGCTCACTGGGTGAGCGTGGTGCTGACACCACCAAGTCAAGGGTCAAGATCCCCTTACCAGTCATCTTTTTAAAAAAAAAAAAAAAAGAAGAAGAAGATATCACTTCAGCTCCTGGATCCAACCACACTCGACAGCTTGCTCTATCGCTGTACTTTCAGTTATGTGAGCCAAAACATTTCCTTTCTTTCTTCTGCCAGTTTAAGCTAGATTTCTGATTCTTGCAGATTCTTGAATAACATACTTACCTTCATACTGCTTTTTTACTGTGTTTCCTATATCTGCAAACTTCCGGTCTTCAAACAGTAAGAACTCATGGCGTTTTGCCAGAGTTGTTAGCTCCTTCATCACATCCAGAGTAAAATCATCCAGAATATCCACGTGAGTCTTGAGCATGCAGATGCTGGGTCCTAAAGCATCTGCTAGCTGCAACAGCTCTCTGGCCTCTGAAACATCAGCAGATAGACATAGATTGGTCTCCTTCTTTTGCATAAGCCTGAGAAGCTTTGATGCAATGGGGTGGATCCTGGGCAGCTCTGCACGTACACCAAAGCTGAGTTCTTTGGGTACTTTCTTTACCAAAGGGAGAAAACCATTCTGATTAGCTTCCACAAAAACATTCTCCTGAATAAATCTCTTCACTCTCTTGACCATCTCAGCATCAATTTTTTTCTGCTGCTGGAGAATCTCCAGAATGTTGGACAATGTACACACTGAGTGGAGACGGATCCCGTGCGCCTGCAACTTGTCCTTGCCTCCCTGTTCTCTGTCCAAGAGCACTATGGCATCGGTGACCTTCAAGCCCTCTTTCTGAAGGACCTCAACAGTTTCCAAAATACTAGATCCACTGGTGACAACATCTTCAATGATTAAACAGGTTTCTCCTGGATTAACAGCTCCTTCTACAAGACGTTTAGTACCTAGAAAAGAAAAAATGCCGTTGATTCCAATTAAAAAAAGTATGTATGTATTTCAGACAACTCAAGATGTATCTTGCAGTATAAATTTGGCATGTACTTATGAACAGGTAGATGATCCAAATCTTATTTTCTGATAATCTACTTTGCAGCCACTTTATCTTTATTTCTGATAAATCTTCAAAGTGCCATGATGACTGTTTTGTTGAGTGTCTCTCTATCCCAAAATTGCCAGTTACATATACAGAATATTTGCAGTAAAACTAGTAAATTATTTTGCAGTGTAAATAAACACCACTCAATGTGTTTTATGATCAAATTGTCAAATATGGGGATCTTAAAGAAAAAACACTTAGATCAAGGAAAGTTACGAGATGCAAAATAACCCAATATTGTCAATGAAATCATTCCTTTTTCATTAACAAACTATTATAAGTTCATCCCACAAAATCAGCCAAACAATTGGCTTTTTGAAGATATAAATTCAGAAGGGAAATTATTCAGCAACCATTTAGACCCATTACTACCATCTTATGAATTATATAATGTAATGTGACTAAATATATTTCTCTACCCAAGTCCCACTACAGACTATTTTCAGATAACCTATAAAAATGTAAATAACTCAGGCTGTAGATTTTATAACTTTTTTTTTTTCCTTTTTGTCTTTTTTACTGACCGGTGACGGGATCGCAACCCTTGGTGTTGCGCCCGCACCGCGCTCAGCCAGTGAGCAGGAACCGGTCTCCACATGGGATCCGAACCCTCAGCGGGAGCACCACCGCACTCCCAAGCGGTGCACTATCCAGTGCGCCACCGGGCCGGCCCTAACTTTTTTTTTTTAGAGACTCATTTTTATATTTTCCACTGCCAATTTGTCTTATTTTGAACAGAAACAGAACTGGTAGGCATTTTGCCTATTTTTTGAGCTTTACTGCAGGTATCATCTTTGACTTTTCTCACTCCTTTTCTCTCAGATCTTCCACACACCCCCAAGTACTGCAAAGAATTGGCCAATTTAACTGAATCAGCTTAGACTAGAACCCAATACTGCAAGTACTTATAGGTATGTTAAAAAATAAACTATTTCGGGGCCAGCCCGTGGCTCACTCGGTAGAGTGCGGTGCTGATAACACCAAGGCCATGGGTTCGGATCCCATATAGGGATGGCCGGTTCGCTCACTGGCTGAGCGTGGTGCTGACAACACCAAGTCAAGGGTTAAGATCCCCTTACTGGTCATCTTTTAAAGAAAAAAAAAAAAGAAATAAATAAACTATTTCATTCTAGAAATATTTTAAAAAACATTTAATGAGAAAATAGACATAGTTTCCTTATAAGCAGGGATTCATGTACATAATTTTTTTAGCTCAAAAAAATCTAACATTATACCTTTAAGCAGCAAAAGTCAACTAAATATTTTTTCTTATTTTCTTTATAATGCCAATTTCAAACAAATAAAAGTAGACAAAATAGTATAATGAACACCCGTAAACACAGAACGCCACCACCCAACAACTCACAGTCAAGCTTGTTTCATCTATATCCCTATGCATTCCCTCCCCCCATAATTTTTAGAAGCAAATCCCAGACATCATGTGATTTCATCACAAAAATTTTTAGAAGGCATCTGTAAAACCTAAGGACTCTTTCTGAAAATATGTAACAAAACATGACCACACCAACATAAAACAAAACAAGCAAGAAAGCCCATTAATTCCTTAATATCATTAAATATGAAGTCAGTTCCAATAGTTTTTGATAGAGTTTCAGGTTTTAAAGCAAGTCCACCTGATAATCTATTGCCATGGACCCACAAAATACCTCCATGAGGTGGTTATATTGCTTTATGAGAGTAATTTTATTCATGCATTACTCTTCATGCAGTTTAAATACAAATATACTGGTAAAGTATGTGTTCTGAAAACATTTTGCTGATGAGGGAAAGGCTGGTAAAAATGTTAGGGGTTCACAGATACAGTGCATAAAAAAAGCAATTTTTTTCATTGCCTAATCAATACAAAGCATTTCACCCCTAGACTCTAAAGGAAAGAAAGGTGATTTATAGCAAGAGTTAACACATCCCACAAGCAATAACAACTTTAAGGACCTATAAAGAATATTTAAGATGACTCTGTTAAAACGTCAGTGTATGGAAGAAGAAAAAATTCTAACAGTATCAGGTTACATAATAACTTAATGCTTATGCTACTTTTATTTTACCATAATCCTTTGTTTCTTTCCTTCTAATAAGCATTGGAATTTGATTGGTTGAACAGATAACTGTAGCCAATGGCAAAGCTGTGTAAGGTACTCCGCACACAGTATCAAAACTGATCCCCGCATTTTGGGCAGTTTGGAATAAAATATCTGCAACCTGTAAGAAAATGAACATATAAACTATCTATTATTATTACTATTTTAAATGGTGTATAAATCACATAACAACATAACATTAAATCCAGTGGGGGTTAGTCTCAAACCTGATAGGAGAAAAAAAATAAGTACCCTTTTACTAAATTACTCTCTCCATAAATCTCAGTATACAAATATAAATATAAAAACACAAGAATGAACCTACTTGCTAGACTCAGGGTCTGCTCTGGGGAAGATCATGATGTTGACCCCAAAGACTAAGGATGATCCTCAGACTTCCTACTTTCCCTTAGTGCTTTGAGTACCTAAAACTATCATCTACTATTTATATTTCCTGAAAGAAGTCTTCAATTAATAAGTTTCATAAATATAGAGCCTATTGTGTGAATTGCTATTTTATGATCTCCTTTTCCACATAAATCATCACATTTTAATGTTAGAATGCATCTTCCCACCCAACACCACCCTATTTAAAAAAAAAAAAGGAAAAAGAAAAAGAAAAGAAACAATCACTCAGAGCTGCTTCATGAACAGGATCAGAGGTCTTTAAAAATTTTTACTCCTGCACTTCTAAATATTTAAAAATCTATAAATATTTTTAAGTTGCAAAGGATGTAATTTCCAGTACTAGAAATATTAACATATTATATCACTCATATCACTCTCTTTAACGAATATACTTGGAATCCAAATGCTATAATGATGTGACACCCATTATCCCCATTAAAAAAAAAAAAAAACGTGAAAATGCTGGACTGTGAAAGTTGGAAAATTTTCACATTTTTTTAAAACTCATATTTGCACTCTACTGTGTCCACAGAATTTTATTCTAACGCAATATATATGTATGTTTGAAAAGCTTTTACTGATCCTTCTATCATACTTCTCTGTATGTATAAAAATTAAAATGAATGTAAATTGAAATTTAAAATTGTAAATTAAGAAAAAATTTCCTCTGACCATAAGTCTCTAAGTATTAAGTTATTCTGTATTATCATTATAATTATTATGAGCATATAGTTAATTAAAATGTAAAATTTTGACAGAAACATAAAAACAGATTATTTTGGAAATAGATGAATGGCACCTTTTCCCTCCAATTATGTACAATTATGCACTAATGTATACATATACTGTAGTGAAATATTGCTTATTACTAGGAAGTCAGAGTTTAGCATAAATTCTATTGCTTTTTGGGGGTGTAAATACTGAGAAACCTTATTTATATAAATAAGTTGATGTGAAAAGGAGTTTTGTTATATGCAGGTCTCTCAATGTTTTGAACTCCTCCCCAGTTAACTACCAAAAATCACACACACAACATGATCCAGCAACAAAAAGTAAATTTTAGTCATTTATTGTTAAACCCATTTTTCATTAGAATCCTTAGTAACTCACTTTCTCTACACTGATGAGATATACCATAGAAATATTCTGGAAGGTAAGAAGTTAATAGTCCAACCCACCTCAACCACTGTTTCAATCCTTCTTACAATAACCACACAAAGTGGGTGCCCAATATATATATAAGCCCTTAAGTGGGTGGAGAGAACTTACATATGTCTTCTAGACAGAACTTTCTGCGATGATGGAAATGTCCAATATGGTAGCCACTAGACACATACAACAATTTAAATTAAAAAATTCATAATGCTCAATATTCACATGTGGCTAGTAGCAACTCTATTGGAGAACACATTTAGACCCTTCTATTCAAGGTGTGGTCTGCGGTTTCGGCTGGCAGTTTGTTAGGAATGCATAATCTCAGGCCCTGCCTCAGAGCTACTGAACCAGATTCTGCATTTTAACAAAATTCCCAGGGGATTCATAGATACTTAAAGTTTGAGAAGCACTGTGCTAGGACTTTCTAATCTGATCAAAAAGCTGCCTCACTGAAATGTCTGCCTTCTGGCTTTAATTCTTGCTCCTGGCCACACATTGCAAAATCGAATGCACCCTTCAAAGCAACCGCCCTTCCAAATATTTGACCAGCTGCTAAATTCTCCGCCTGTCCACCTTTTCCTTTCTTCTCCATGAGTAATTTTTCTCGGCGTTAAATACACACAACTCATTCAAATACTTCTGTGTCAGACAGGGCCCCAAGCTGGATTTCCCAACTCTTGCAAAAGCACGTGTCAAAGCCGGTCTGTCAAATAAGTTACTGTCTAAATTCCCAAAGAGCCCGACAACCCCTGGCCTCTGTGCTTGTCAAGCCTACTCCCCAAGCTGACAGTAGGGCCTGCCTGTCTGCCTGCTTGGCTCTTTTGCTCCCGACCACGGCCCAACTCCTGTCACCCCCTTTCATCTCCTGGTCCCCCTTCCCGCCACCCAGCTCGCCCTGTGCTTCCACTTCCTGGGCTGGCACCTGGGTCAGAAGACGCGGTCGAGACACGATGCCCCGCAGATCGATGTAGACTGGGGAGGAGAGCCCGCTCTTCAGCACGAAGTTGCCAAACTTGAAAGCCTGCACGTCGTACAGACCCGTCACCAACGGCTCTAAAGCTGCCCCGGCGGCCGCCATCGTCGCGCGCTCCCAGTTGGAGGCAAACTCCAAGTCGCGCCGAGCCCGCGGCGCCCGATGACGTCGTCCGCGGAGCCCCGCCCCTTCCGCGCCCCTTTCCGGCCTCTCGGGCAGGGTCGCTGGAGCGGAGGGGTGCTGGCGAGCTCAACCAGGGTGTGTGCTTCAGTGGATTCCTCTGGATAGGATCGCTGGGGTTTGAAGCCATGAACAGCTAGATTGACTCCAGGATGGTGAAGAGCAGCTTCTCAGGAGAGTTTGAGTAAATCCTGCTCATTGTTTATAGCTCACCCTCCTCTTGACTAGTTCTGATTATCTCTACCCTTTGATCCAGCATGCCACAATTTGCCAGTTATCAGCCACTCCTTTCCTCCCTACCTTTCACCAAACAGCAAAAATTCTCGAAGACAGGGACATATACTCAATTCTTTTATTAACTTTATAGCATCTGGCACGTGACAATTTCATAGCAATTTGCACACAGGAATATGATCTTAGTAGGTACTTGTCCATTGCCTCTTCTGTGGGCAATCTGCGTCCTGGAGGAGGGGCTGTGTTTATTTCTGTTAGACTACAACAGGGGCTTGGCAGTAATAGGTGTACAGCAGATAAGGAAGAGAGGAAGGAGAGTTAGAGGAGGATGACTGAGCCCTATCACGGTTATCCATGAGGATAATATTGACAGCCAGTCCGAATATTGAAACATATCTGGTCTTTACAAATAAATCCCTTATAGTGGAAAAGTTCTCCATCAGGTGGGGAAGGCAATACTTATCTATCCTAGTTTAAGGAAAGTAACCCTTAAAACCATAGGGCTCATTATTCTAGTTCATGAAACTGATTCTGATTTCATTTCTATCTTTCTGTGTTCTTCATGTCTATATTTTCTCTGAAGAGATTGTGCTGACTGGCCGATGTGAAAAGCCCATGCTTTTTATTATTATTATTGATTAGACATATTCATGGGGCAAGAGCTGACCACCAGCACCTGTGCCCAAGACGTGGTGAGCAAATCAATGCTATCAGCATGCCCACCACCTCACATTGCAATTATTCCCGGTGTCCCCCACCCAACCCCAGCCTAGCAATCCTAGGTCTGTCCTCTCCCTCTGTAAGTTCAACACACCACTGTGAACCCATGCATTTGACAATTGTTCCTTATTACAAATAAATGCAGTAAAATTTTGATGAAATAGCAGCCAAATGTTAAAACATTTTTGTACTTATTGGCAAAGTAAGCTAATCGAAATTCCTTAATCTCTAACACTCTGGCCAATTGACAGTGTATTATAATCAGCCTCATTTGCACTTGGGTGGCGAATGCAGACTTTCAAAGCCTGATCATGTCTGAATAGGCTAATCCAGATTCCTGGAGTCTGCACCAGGATGCATAAATGTGTGAGATCCAGCCCATATGGCCTGCCAACATTCTAACAACATTAACACATGAAATACCAGAAAGAAGTTAACAATATACCAGAAGCTTCCTTGGCATTTTTGGATAGAGAAACCCCTTAAAATAATAGGGCACAAAATTGTTGTTTTCTTTCTAAATGCTGGGCAAGAAGTAATAATAATGTGATATTTTTACCTTGTCAAGGGCCTTCATACATTTGGGGGAAGAAAAAATTACTCTTTTCTTTGAACAAAGGTTTTAATTAGGAAAAAAAAAAAAGACAACCAGAAATAGTATCTTTAGTATAGTATATTTATAGGAATGCATAACATGTGAAATGTACATTTTGAAGTTTCATCCATAACTTATAACATTTACTGTAGTAATAATAACAAGACAGCAGGTCATCACTTTACAACATTACACATGAGTGATTTTGACTTACAAATAAAATATTTACAACCTACCTTTACAAAACGACATTGTGTGCATACAAAATGAACAACTGCAGAAAAATTTAGAAATAATAAAACAACCCAAACCAGAAGATACACTTAAGGCAGACCAGCAAGACACTGAAATAATTAAGGCTGTGGAATTCTTCTGCACCTTGAAAATATAGAGATATTTATCAATACTGTGGAGTGGTTTTAAATCAACTGTTACAAGCCTGATGGAAGTATGTATTTATATGTATATGTGTAATGGTCCCTATGGGGAAACCTGTCCACTTATGGATAAGGCCCTTTTTCTGAATGGCCAGAGTAGCCCACCCCAAATTCTCAAAAGACTTGGAGGCTGCACCCAGTCACTCAAAACCAAGAGGTGCCAATGCTGTTTGCAAACCAACTACTAATGATTTAAATATAAAGATACTTCTGAGTCCAGGTAAAGAGAATAACCTAAGGGATGGCCTTTGTTAGTTTGGCTTTGTGGACTTCAAAAGACAGCAAATTAATTCCCAAATGAGTAGAATTTGTCTCCACAAATTATCCCTAATGGTTTTGAATGGCCGTAAATGGTTTTCCAATAGAAAAATTGACCCACCTGGGCTGTCTGCAAATGGATAGATTTCTGCATATGAGCAATAACATACACATACATATTATACACTATATACATGTACAGATGTACATATATCCGTATTTTCCAACAGTTTGCACTTTGATCACTGCTGTTCTCTTAATAGGATCTCATCCTGAAGAGTACATTTACTTTTTTCACAGTCTACGTATTTGTCCCAACTACTCATTTTACTCACCTTCCCCATAGAGTAGGCTGAAGTTTGGCAGAAACAGTAGTAAAAGCACCAGGATCAAAAAAAGCAAACACACAGCTGATAGATATGGCTTAAGTTAGTAAGAGAAGATGTATGTTTGTTAACTTCAAATTCATAGCCACAGTCTTTGAGGTCTTGGTAACAGTCTCCATAATACTCCAGAACGTGAATTCAGGTATTGACAGAACTACTACGCTGGCTCTCCCAGGCTAGCAAGTTCGCTGGGTTAAATCGGGCCTCCTAGAGCTGGCATTCCAAGAATTGTTATTGCACTTTCTCCACCGCTCTCCCTTTCTCAGCTAACCTCACTATCTCAAACAACAGTTATCTGACTAAACCGTTCTCTCCATCATTTGAATAAAAACTAAATCTGACCACTTTTTAGAATCTCCCAGCAAACAGCTGACAGGAAATCAGCTATGAGTACTGACTTCAGGCTTTTTGTAAATGTCCTTTAGAGGTGAAAACGTGTCTTAGAAAGATTGCTTTTTCCTCTCCTCTAACTTCTATATGTATTGAAAATGAGGAAGAAGTGCTTTTCATAGAAAATATGACCCTATGATATTTCCATGTTCTACTATTTCTGTATACATTTTTCATGTGAATAATATTTCCTATTAAAAATATCAAGTGATATGGACAAATGTCAGCCCTTTTTAAACCCCTAGAATTAATGAAACAACTGAGAGCCATATTGGTTTTAAAAAATAAATATTAACATAGTAGCTTTCCTTTTCTTGATGGAGAATATGTGAGCTCTATCTTTTGTAAGCCCACCCTGGGGTTAAGCATTCACTCCCAATTGATCCCTACATTTTAAGTAGTGAAGAAAAATCATGATGCAGTTTTACAAATAAATCCACTGAAAGCTCACATACTGTGTTTGCCTAACCCAGACTCTACAGAGATGCTACCCAGGAGAGAAAGGAATGAGGTCTACCTTCCTCCAAACTCATCCAGTACCATTCACTGGCCACCCTGAACAAGGATGTGGTGAGTTTGCACTTCTGCCCTACTACAGAGATCCCTTACGTTCAAAATATTTCCTCTTCTATCAAATGCATGGGACACAGTTTAAGTTAATGCAAAGAAATGACCACCATTTAGTTTATATCAAAGTTGCTCTGTCATATTCTCACAAATCTAAATTTCTATGTTCTTCCACATAGGCAAGAAAAAAGTAGTAACTAACTCACGGGCACTAAATCAAGGAGGCTATGGGACAGCAAATACTCGTGTGCTACTCCTAAAAGACCTAACCATCTAATAAAAAAAGAGCCAAAGCTTTCCCTCCACAAACCAACAGTCCAATTCACTTCTACACCTGCATTTAATTTGCCTCTTATAACATATTCCTGTGAGACTCTGAAGAAATGAATTGTGATATGGGAAGATATTTTATTCTCACTTCTGCCCTCCCAGTAAGAAAAAACGGCTGTTTGGGTTCTTCTCTGTCCATTTTTCCAGAGCATAAAGCTTTAGAAGAGAAGGTGGTGGTTGCTTTGGAGGGCATCTTACTTTATGTGCCTGCTGTTAAGAAATACTGCAGAAAACAGTTTATGGACATAAGATTTCATCAGCTCTCCTAACCCTTTTCTGTAGACAAGTTCTGAAATGATTGAAATTATAGGTTAAGATCAAATAACATTTAGACAAAGAACACCTAGTACTTCCAATTAAAAGCAATTTACAGAATTTAATCTCATGAGTTTGTAAATGGTATCTAAAGACATGAGTATTGAAAACCTGGAATGTTCAAAGTTACTATCAATAAAATTCTTAGCACTGGCAGTGTGTAGCACTTTTTAAAAATCAAAGTATTTTATAGACATCTCAACTAAGATTATTTCTCAACATTCCTACGAGATTAATGTCCTCCCTTCTCTATTTCCTCTTCCCCCCAATTCCCATTTTACCAATGGGCACATTTGGGGTAGAAAAAAAACCAAAGACTTTCTGTAAGAAAAAAATGAATCAGGAATAGCTGAGGTTGAAACTCAAGAATTCCTGTTTCCACCCTATATTCAGATGTTTTTATTTAAAAGATATTTTAAAATACGGAAAAAATGCTGCAATATCAGTAAGTCTAAATGCAATGAACTTCTTTATCTCCCATTCTCCCCTCTGAAAGGCACTACTATTGATAAAGACTTTGTGAACCATGAAGTGGTGAATCCAACTTTCTCCCCAGCTTCCTCTACTCCTCTTTAGACTGTTTATGGCTGAGAGAGAACTGAAGGACACCTCCAACATTACACATTTTTTTCTTAAAAATTTTACCACATTCAGCTATAAGTGGATATAAATCTATTTAATTGAAACAAATGTAAAAGATGCAGGATATCATTATACTTCTTAAAAGTTATTATGGGTTGTCCCTGATCTTTTCCTTCCTTCTGCATCCCATCTCAAAAAATAAAACAAAAAATCCCAAAACCCTGTGCAATGAACATAAACCAAGCAAGAAACTTGTGGCTTTAACCATTTGTTTTTCTGCTTCAGCTGGAAGTTCTTTCCCACTAAGAACTATCATAATTATAGTAGAAAGAGACTTCTTTCTTCTCTTCTCTACTACCCAGTAATAAATCTTTTGCTAAAACAGGTACAAGAGAGTGGTCCCTGATCCTTTTCCCCTCACCACAATGTCCACAAAGCAAACAACTTCTAGGATTCCTTGTTATGAGTATTTCCCCTACTACCCAGTAATAAATCTTTTGCTAAAACAGGTACAAGAGAGTGGTCCCTGATCCTTCTCCCCTCACCACAATGTCCACAAAGCAAACAACTTCTAGGATTCCTTGTTATGAGTATTTCCGTCTTGCAACAGAGAAATCTTGAACCAAGACCACTATCTTATCCCTGCTGGAAGGGACCAGGAGCTTTGCAGACAGGGAGGCTCCCTATTAGTTTTCTCAGTTATCGCACTATATAAAATATACCCGCTTTCTCTTAGGGCCTCTATTAAGTTCATTCTACTCTAATGATTGTACTTTGGCTCCAGTTAACAAAAGCACACTACTTTTCATTTCTCTGTCCCTCCTCCATGTCTTCTCATTCCCCCAACAGGGGTACTTGAGGGAGATGCCATGCAACCCCACATCTGGATCATCCCAACTCTGACGTAAAAGCTGACACAAAAGCTTTGGTTCTAACATTTTGCCAGCTGCCCTCCCTACAACATGATGTCCATAATGCCCTCCTGCCCTAGTCTGTACACCATTGTCCTAAGGCCCTGCCCTCTCAAGAAGAAGCAGCCTGTCATAAAAATGCAAAATGACTCAGCAGGGGAGTCTGTATTCAAGTCATCCACAGTGGGCAGAAAAGAACTTGCCAAGCCATATTCTATGGATATTTGGGATCCTCAGAGCCTGCAATCTATCCCATGACAAACCCTATGGACTAGACTTTCTTCTTTCATGTCATAATGGATTATGCCATAATGAAGACAAGCTTATTACTAAAAGGGCTTTTAGTAAATATATTTAAAATTTTAAAATGTGTCATATAGTATTTCTATATATACCTATAAGTTTAAATGAAGAATATGAAGGGTTAGTCAAGGGAGAGCTCTGAGAGAGTGAGGCCTGATGACCCAGGGCCGCTCAAAAACTAGGAAACTAATACAGTCAGAGTCGGTTTCCATATATTTGGTTAATCCCCAAAATACTAAGTGCTACCTAGTCTTATTGCTTGTACTTTCTATTAATTTATTGATCTGTAATCTTGGATGGGATGAGGTGGAGGGTAGATGAAGAAAATAATGATGAGTATTTTTAATTCTACATTTCCACTGTGGGAATAAGTGTTTATATATATTAAAGTTCAGGCTTAGTTCTACCATTTCTTTTTCATTTAAATGGGCTTGTAGTTCTATTTTTCCTTTATAAACTCCCTGCTTGCATGTCTATGCTGCATGATTTTAATTTCCTCAATCCTATTATAGGAGAGAAGTGATGCCATCAAGCCTGATTTGAACAAACACTTGAGTTACATTTTAAAAATATTATTTGCAAAACAGCAATTTTCAAAACACATTCTAGAAAACAAAGGGTAGATCATGAACAAACACAAAAAGTAAAAACTCCACCCCTCCCCCCAAAAAGAAACAAAGAAAAAACCATGAAATGCCCAGGTTTAATAGTTTTCCCATCAGAGGGAAAAAGAGCAGTTAATAATAATCCTGTATGGAGAATATACACCAGAAATCAGCAATTAATACAATTAGTCCTTTTAGTCCAGAGAAATATTGGTGGCTGAGTGGTGACAGGTATTGCAATCTCAGTTAAAACTCAATGCTCTGTTAGGGTGATGTATCAGGTTTTGCTCCATGGCTTCAAAAAGCACTTAGGACCAGGCATTTAAAAGGCCTATATGGCTGCCTCCTTTTGGTAAGCACCCCTTACCTACAATAAGGGTATAGAAATAAAGCAAGCCAGCTTTCTGAAGACTGTATTCTACAGCTGTAGAAGAAATCAGAAAGTGTTGGTACGTTGTTCATAGGAACTATAGGAAAGGTTTCTATTTGCCCTTTTGTATGAACCTGTTATATTCATTTACCTATTTCAAACCAGGTGTAGACATAAAAATAGTCCCACAACTCTTACTGTATTTAGACTCATTTCCTGGCAGGCTTTCCTGCCAGATTATCTCAGAGCTGCCAGTGAATTTGGGGGTAGCATTTCATATACAGAATTTATCTTAGTCAAATAATCTGTGACTAAGAGAAAAATCTTCCCATTCACAGATTGAAAAGGGTAACATTGCTTTCTCTTAATCCACAGGTTCTGGTAAAAGATTTCTATACAAGATTTATAAAATGCTCTAAAAAATTGTCATCTAATTGTGCTTAGTCAAAACAATGTAATGCTTCGATAAATAAATTACTGTCTTAACTGTAGCACTCAAATTTACTTACTTATGATTTCATATATATATCTATATTATAAAACTCTGGAACCTGAATGGGATATGTTATACTGTATGTGTATATGCATCCTATTAAGAAACTATATCTAAGTTACCTAAACCAGAATAGTTGATATACATGACATGTCTATTAAATAGAATTTTTGCTTAAAATTTCGGCAAAGGCAGAAACCTTTTATACTTACTATAGTGAGCTTAAGATTTGCCCAGTAAACCACTCATTCTGGAACATACAGTTAAAATATTATAACAGCTTATATTCTTGTTAACCTTGCCCTTCTTTTTAACTCTTTCTGTGACTCTTTGCATCTTCATTTCTTCAGAATGACCTTTTGGAAAGTCCCTGGATGTAGGGTGACTTTTACTGCTGCTCAGACCCTGAATAACCACTGACAAGCTTTTAGAGGTACATCTCTCAATCCAGAGAACCACGTGGAGTGAAAAAATGGACAGAATTATTTACAGTCACATTCAGTCTTGCTTTGGTTCACACTGCATTTCTATGTGAAACCTCACAGGCTGGGAGATGGCTACGTCCCTTGGTTCACCCGATTGACAATGTAGCTCTTGACGTTGGGAATCGGTCGGACGTCATTCTGGTGCTTGCGGCGCTCTATGAAGCACGCCAGGCGGGAGGTATCCAGGGGGATCTTGGAGTAGCTGCCATTGTGGGGCTGCAGCCATGGATGCTGCAGGCAAGTGGCTGCCGTGGGCCGCCTCCGGAAGTCTTCCTGTAAGATCACATTGATAAAATCTCTTGCGGCATTGCTCACACCACAGAAATATTCATGCGGGAAGCTGAAATCCACCCTGCAGACATTGATACACGTCTCCTCTTTGCTCTCATCCAAGAAAGGGGAGACCCCACTCAGCATGACATATGTCAGAACCCCAATGCTCCAGATGTCTGTGCCCAGAGAGACGGGGATGCCCTGGATCACTTCTGGGGCAGCAAACTCAGGATTCCCCAGCAGATGGTGGATGTGGAAGTGACCTGAGATCTGGACAGCATCCTCCAAGTCAATAAGCTTCACTCGAGGCACCGGAATTCGTAGGTCAATGAGCAAGTTTTCAGGCTGCGGAGATCCAGAGAGGCAAAGAGAAGAGAAGGCAAGTTCAGTTCCCTGTTTTGACTACGGTAGGGCTCCATTAGTTCAATCACAGTTCTGCTCTTCTCTGACAGAGCCTCCAGTGTATGGGAAATTCCCTATGCAAAGTGCATAGGAGGCTTCTAACTATGAGTCTGAACTCACTAAATTCTGAGTTTGGGTGGCACTTCAGTCTTCTTAACTACCATTTGCTTCTGCATTGAATCAAGAAAAGGATAAATTTCTCATTTTGGAGAACAGGGGCTTCTTTTTGAGCAGCATGAAAGAGAAGGTAACATTTATTTGCTTTCTTCCATAAAGTTAGACTAGATAGTTAAAGCTTCCCTTCCTTCTCTCACCCCAGCTGTCATTTTGTGACTCTGGTATGTTCTCATTAATTCCTAGACAGAGCACTTAAATTGTCTGACTACTTAGTTTCTGTTTAACAGTCATAGATTTCTAATCTAAATAAATAAAATGAATTCAAATTGACATTGCTCAAGGGTAATGACTGGTCAGTTGGACTTAGCTGTTTCCCTGCAAGGGTTGCTATTTCTTATTACCTTTATGTCCAAATGTGCAACCCTGCAGTTGTGAAGGTACTGCAGGGCTTCCATGATGTCTCGGATGTAGAAAGCTACTTTTTCCTCCATCAGCTCATCATGATTCATTAGGTAGTCTAAGAGCCGGCCATCATCCATCCTGAAAATAGGGAGAAAAGGCAAAGAAAATATGTTTCTGAAGAAACAGAGAGATAACACATGTACACACCTGTGAGATCTCTAAGATCTTTCTTACTTCCTGTTATAAATGAAGATCAGTGTTGCAGCACATGCATATTTTAGTTAGAGCCCAAAGTTAGTGTAATGTTCAGAACTAAAATAAATATTTACAAATGTGGTGCGCTTCGGGAAAGAAATCTGTATAACCTGTTTAAGAAATATTCTGTTTTGTTAACTTTTAAAATTGCTCATAAGAAGAAAGGTCTGACATCCCTTTGAGAGGTTAGATTGCAAAATAAAGAAAGCCTTCATTGAGAGAGACATAAGCAATATTCTGATTAACCAGAACCTAGTGGCTGCAAGCAGCTCCATGTGTGTTTTGCAAACTACTTTTCTCTGTAAATTTTTAGTTGGGGAAAATAGAAAGTAGCCAAAGTTTGTTCTTGGCATTCTTGATCCCTTTTTGAGTCCTTTCCTTCTGGGAAACTTTGCAATCTTAAAGTATGTGACTGAGAACATGGTATGTGGAGCCAGCCAGACCCGGATGTGATTCTGGTTCTGTCACCTACCTGCTGGGGGCAAGTCATTTAAACTCCCTGTGTTTTGGCTTCCCGGAAGCGCACCATCTTTAAAGTGGAAATAATAACAACAGCAGCAATAGAATAATACCTACTTCATTATGAGGATTGTGCAAGAGTAGAGTGAGAAAATGAGGCATTTAAGCACAATTGGTAGCATAAGTAAGTGCTCAATAAATGGTAGCTGTTCTCAGGCACCCTGTGCTCTCTCACAGGAAGGAGTGACCAAGTGTCAGTTGTTCTTTAAGGTACATTGGGCTGTTAAAGGCACATCCCAAGGAAATGCCCAGGTAAAGGAGCTTGATCCAGGGTCAGAAACTACTTTTGATCACAGCTGAACCACCCCCCTGGCCAAGTTTCCATTCTCTCCTCTAGCTTGTTACTTGCGGCTGGTCTCTTCTTATTTTCCTTGACAGGAGCAGAGGCTAGAAACGACAAAGGCCTCCTTTGCCTTGTCTGACCCTGCTGGGGGTGGGGTAAGAATAGTTAGAGTGCAGTACCAGTGGGCGTATTAAATGCATCCCCCTGAACTTCTTGGAGCAATTAAGGGAGAAATTAACAATAGCAATCAACCAAGAGTAGAAAACCTCAGTTCCCAAGTTCAACCTTAGAGCTTTTGAATAATGCAGAAGCCCACATTCCACCCTACGTCTGACCCTGCTGGGGGTGGGGTAAGAATAGTTAGAGTGGAGTACCAGTGGGCGTATTAAATGCATCCCCCTGAACTTCTTGGAGCAATTAAGGGAGAAATTAACAATAGCAATCAACCAAGAGTAGAAAGCCTCAGTTCCCAAGTTCAACCTTAGAGCTTTTGAATAATGCAGAAGCCCACATTCCACCCTAGACTGGGGAATCAGCATCTTAGTTGCCTGGTAGAGAAAAGCTCTACAAGCAATTCTGTTGACACCAAAGGGGAGAACCACAGTCAGAGTGTAACCAAGATTCAGCACATGGTTTAGCTCAGGCATTGCATCTCCACAGATTCTCCCTTAACCTCAAGTCCAGCTGAGCACCTTTCTATGTTCTCACAGGAACCCTCTCCAATGCAGGCATTTCTTTCTTAATATTTACCATGATATAATGAAATCATCCATTTAACTATTGGTCTTCCTCATTAGGACTTATAACTCCTAAAGGGCAAGAACCGTATCTTTTCACCTTGTTCCCCCCAACTCAGCCCCGGTCTGCACAGTGGTTGGCGCATAGCAAGTGCTCAGTAAATGCTTGCTAAACTAATTGAACCTAGCTTCCATCTAACTTAATTCCTGCCACATCTCGGGGAAGTTGGAGGAATTCTTTAGTCTTCACAGGTGAGGACCCTGTGGTCCAGGAAACTAAGTATTCTGTTCCAAATCACACAACTGGGACATGAGTCTAGATTCTTCATTCCAAGAACAGCTTCTTTCCATGTACTGTGGCAGCCTGATCGTCGACACCTTCTCTTGGAACAGTAGTAGGCATGTCTGAAGGGGCAAAAGTTCTGGGTCTGCTGAACCATCCTGGTACAAAGTGACAATACCCTTTATTGGAAAGCAAGCATAAATGTTGTCAGTTGTAAACAAGGATGGTTCACTGTCAATGGAATATGCCTTTTGAATGAGGAAGTTTCCAACAAATAGGTTCGGCTCTTAAAGACTGTTAAGTCTGTTTGCTAAGTCCAAAGTGACAAACTACCAACTACTACACTGCTAGGTAAAGTTAAATTTCATGAAAGGATTACACATGCTAACAGTGCTGATTTTGCCTCCTCTTGTTTCTTTTCAACTGACTTAAAAATGTAGCTAAAGATGTTTGTATTTTAGCTTTCTTTTTCGTCTTAAATAAATTTATCACAAGTTACTGCTTCAAAGACCCCTTACCCATACACCTAGACTGACAAGCACACAAGAGCAGATGAAAATGACAGTTGAAAGGCTGAAAATGCAGGTGCATCTCTACGAAATGTGGGCTCCCATGAAGCCATATGCAGCACTGGTCTGTGTGGACACGTCTGTCTCCTGTCCAGGCCAGCAGCCATTTCTGTGTTATCTCTACTACTTCTGAAAAGATTCTGTTCTCTTTAGTCTCTGTAAGAAACCACAGAGCATGCTCTCTGTTCTTAGCTTGGGGAAGCAGAGGGGAGAATGTAACTTTAATGTTCTATTTGATCTGTTCTGGAGGCCAAGTATTTGGTTGCCTAAGTCCCTAGAAAATCTGGAATGAGTGGAAGGTTTTGGAGGTAAGGTTCCACCCTAAAAGGAATTTCTTGGGCAGTAGACTGGGGATACCATGGTGGGAAGCTGACGCACAAAGCCCTCTCATTTCAACTCCACCCCATCAACCCTCAATTTGCCTACTGTCAATAAGCTCTTCCTAAACTCCTACCCATCCAAGAGTCCATTACAAAGAAAATGAAAATTGGAGTGAGGGGTGTGAGTTCAAGTCCCAGCTTCCACATCTTCGTTTTAAGGATCTTCTTTGTCCTTGATTTTCTAATCTATAAAACGGAATAACATGTATACAAGTTGGGGGAGAGAGTGCATGTTACATGTAGCACTTCGTAAACTATAATACATTGTAAAAAAAATACAACCGTCTTTTCCATTAATGGTGGGCAATAAATAACCCAAGCAGGTGGGAACCACCTTAGAGAGATGACACCAGTACTTACAATTCCAAAATCAGGATGTAGGATGTGGGGGACTCATAGGTGTCGTGGAGAGTGATGTACTGCGGGTGCTGCAGGTGCTGCAGGAGGGCGGCCTCGTGGGCAGCCTGCTCTTTCTTCTTCATTTTTTTGCTAACGAATTTCACAGCCACATCCTTGCGGGTGGCTTTGTGAATGCATTTCTTTACTATGGAGAAACGGCCTCTGGAAAACAAAAGGAAGAAAGCATTTTACAATCAACTAGGTTTTATTTTATCCAGGAATGTGTAAAGTTTTGCATGAAGTGGTCAGACAGACATTTTGTTAGGAATCCTACTCTACTATATTTTAAATTATAATGTCATCCAGAAAAGCTGTTTTTCCTTCCTTAGCATTTTAGGGTTCTTTAAGATGCAAAAAGCTAACTAATATCATTTTTTAGTCAATATATTTCCCTATCACTTTGAACATCAACCACAGGTTCAGTTTTCTAAGTAGAACATATTTCTATAAAATGCAACAATAACAACAACATTAAAGAAGCAGGAATTCTACTCAATGATAATTTAAAAAACATTTTTAAAGAGGCCAGTTTTTCATTTTATTTTGTTCATTATCTTTTTATTACGGAAAATTTCTAATATACACGAAAGTAAAGAGAAAAGCAGAATAGATCTCCTGTGTGTCCAGCTTTAATAATTATCAACACAACGATTTTGTTTTATCTATCCCTTTCCCATCCCCCGTTTTTTTCTCTGAAGTATTTTAAGCAAAGTCCAGATATGTAATTTCACTCATAAATACTTCAGTTTGCATCTGTAATTGACAAGGACATTAAAAAATGTATAACCACCCAGCCATTATCACATCTAACAAAATTACCCACTCCTGAAATAGACAGAATGGTTCCCAGATGCTGTTACAGCCCGGTAGGAGGAAGTAAAAGAGCAGAGGAGTAAATAGTCACATAAACTTCCTTTGGCCTTTTTTCCTTCTGTTTTGCTACCCAAAGAAGACAGGAAATAGAGTTGTGATATTTTGATACACAAGGGGTCTTCAAAAAGTTCATGGAAAGATTTGTATTACTTTGTAGTTCTGTCTTTCCATGAACTTTTTTGAAGTAACCTTGTATGTGTGTGTGTGTGTATATATACATATACTGGTTTCTGTCCACTTTTCCTAGCTCATAATTCTCATAACCCTTGTTTTTTTGTTATAATGCTGGAACTCCTTAGGCTTCAGAGGAGGCCTCAGAGAACAGTCTCTCTCTCTGACCTTCTCCTGTCCTCCTTTCATCTGCTCTTTTTCTTCCCGAGGCAGGAAATTCTCTGACCTTCCTTAGATTGTAGGTCATAAGACCCCCATTCCAGAAGGGGTCTTGCCCCATAGCCAGGAGGAAGGAATGCTGCCCAGAGAGGCCAAGAAGAACCCACTGCTGGGTTTCCTCACCCAGTCTGTTAATGTTAGATCATACCCTTTTTCTCCAATTATATTTCTACGTGGTTGTCCATGCTTCAATCATGCCTATGTAATGAAGTTTCCATAAAACCCCAAAAGGACAGGGTTCAGAGAGCTTCCAGACAGCTGAACACGTGGAGGTTCCTGGAGGGAGGAATGCCCAGGGAGGTCATGGAAGCTCTGTGCCCCTCCCCCATTCCTTGCCCTGTGCATCTCTTCATCTGTATCCTTTGTCATATCCTTTTAATAAACCAGGAAGTGTAACAAAGTGTTTTCCTGAGTTTTGTGAGCCACTTAGCAAATCCTCTGAACCTGAGGAGAGGTTTGTGGGGACCCTGATTTATACCTGATCAGTCAGAAGTTCCAGGACCTGGACTTGTGACGGCCCCATCGTGGTGGGGGCAGTCTTGGGGACTGAGCCCTCAACCTGTGGGATCTGAAGCTATCTCCAGGTAGATAGTGTCAGAATTTATCTGAATTAGAGCACGCTCTGCTGGTGTCCACTGCAGAATTGATTGCTTGCTTGCTGGTAGGACAATACCCCCACATATATGGTGTCGGAAGCATGTTGTGAGAGTTATAGTGGGAGAATCTGAGTGTGTTTTTCTACTCAAGAGCTAAAGTTTGTTTTTGATGAAAGGTACAGTGAATTGCATTGTGACTCCTGCCTAACAACAGAAATAATGAATATTTTAGCTCTATCTACAACCTCTGTCACAACCACCCAACTTAGGAAATTGTATGCTTCCTTGAGAGATGCCAATCAGAGACGGAGATGATACGAAAGCCCAACTGTTAGGGGGTGCTCTTTTATTTATACATCCAGGGTGGGTGGGTAATTTGTAAGATCAACCCACATTTTCTCACCCAGACCACCTGCAGACAAACAAATGCTCTGGGATGAACCCTTTTTGTTCCTTTCCCATCAACTATTTTGTGGGCATGGTGATGAAGTTTTAAATTACTATTCTGTTGAAAGTCATATTTTTATCCTTTTTATTTTTATTTTTTTCCTTTTTGTCTTTTTTACTGACCGGTAACGGGATCGCAACCCTCGGTGTCGCGCCCGTACCGGGGACCGGCAACAGGATCGCAACCCTCGGCGTTGCGCCCGCACCGCGCTCAGCCAGTGAGTGGGAACCGGTCTCCACATGGGATCCGAACCCTTGGCGGGAACGCCGCCGCGCTCCCAAGTGGCGCACTCTCCAGTGTGCCACCAGGCTGGCCCTATCCTTTTTATTTTGAGGCACACTAAATGTTCTGTAACTGAGACACTGAGTGACAGAGAGAGAGAGAGAGAGAGAGAGAGAGAGAGAGAGAGAGAGAGAGAGAGAGAGAGGAGATGATGTGTGTTGTCCAGGAGGATTTGGACTAGAAATACCCATAGAGCAATAATGTGCTTGACACATGAACATATATAGAGACCTATATCTAACAATTAGTGATGATACATTCTTCTCAAGAACACATGGAACTTTTCACAAAAATTGACCATGTACTACTCATAAATCAAGTTCCAACAAAAATCAACGAATCAATATCATATAGACTAAGTTCTCTAATCACAATACAATTAAGTTAAAAATCAGTAATAAAAAGATAATTTTTTTCTTTTTCTTCTTTTCTTTTCCTTCTTCTCTTTCTCTAAAAAGATAATTTTAAAAAATCTCATACATTTAAGAACCTCATACAGGTTAAAACATTTTTTCTATTACAACTGGGTCAAAGAAAAAAATCACAGTTGAAGAAAAAATACATAGAACTATAAGATAATGAAAATGCCACATATCAAAACTTGGGAAATATAGCTACAATTTGTACTCTGAAGAAACTTTTGAGCCTTAAATTCTTTTTTTTTTTTTTTTGTCTTTTTGTCTTTTTTCATGTCCGGCAATGGATCGCAACCCTCAGTGTCGCACCAGCACTGGACCGGGACAGGCAACGGGATCGCAACCCTCAGTGTTGCGCACGCACCTCGCTCAGCCAGTGAGCGGCCGGTCTGTATGTGGTATCCGAACCCTCGGCGGGAGCGCCGCCACGCTCCCAAGCGGCGCACTGTAGCAGTGCGCCACCGGGCCGGCCCAGAGCCTTAAATTCTTATGTAAGAAAAGAAAAAAGGCTGAGAGTTGATGAGTGAAGCATCCAAGTTAAGAAGTGAGAATGGTAGGGAGCCACATAAATACCCTAGTTGTTTTCTTGCTATAGAGAGAATGCATCTATAAAAGAAAGAAACAAACAACAAAAACTAGTCACTCTGTTGTGATGTTGCTAAGAGTCATGAGGGAAGGAACACAAAACTGTGTCCTTACCGTCCAATTTCATTCAGTTCAGTATAAGCAGAATCAAAGTTTTCCTTCCATGAAATGGTGGCACCATCAGCAGCAGCATCTTTGGAAAAGAGAGAATTCATTTATGATACTGAGGATGTCATATAAGAGAAAAGAAAAGGTTAACAGAAGAACTTCAGCATTATCCCAAAGCAATTCTCATGACTAAATATGGAGTCTAACTCCATGGGAAAAGGCCATGATTCTCTGGAATGTTATTTTTAAAAATATCATCTAAAGGGAACTGACATGGCAGAGTCAGAGCACCTCTGCCGCCTACTAAAACAAAGGGAAAACTCGGGAAAACCAGAAATGTAACTCCTGGATATTTTAAAATAGAAAAAAAAAATTTTTTTTAAAGGGAAAGTGAAAAATACTCTGAAGGCCTAAAATAGCCAGTGAAAATCATGGCTTTAGGGAAGAGGTAGAGCGAATAGGAGAAAAGTTACAAAGTCAAGAAAAGAGAAAAAAAAAAGAACATTTTAAAACTTCTCTTTCTTACCCCCACTGTTCTCAGGCACTAATGAGCTTATCCAGTATATTGAATGATTTGACTTAACCCACAGTATATGCCTGAGTAGACTCTTTGGCTGCATTACCTTGCATGATTTGTCAACTCCCTGGCAATGATGTACATACACACACGCATGAACATGCACGCCAATATGTATTTGTGTTGTCTGCTGGAGACCAAAGCTCACAAGCAGCAAAACATGAACAGTGGACATCCTGGGGCAGGCCTGAGTTAGTGGCTTGAGGAGGAGAGGAGCCACGTCAGCAGCATGGCTCTTCTGACCCCAGAGCTGGTCACCTCAGCCTGCCCAGAGTACAGTCTGGCCAGGGCTAACGGTGGCTTGTCCATATTGAATTCTGAAGAGACAGACTCAGGGCCAAGGTTCCCAGTGAGTCACAGGCCCATGGGACAAAGTTAAAGTCACCGGGAGGGAAATGACTGGGCTGGCATGAAGGCAGGCTGGAGAGCATTTCTGTATTCACATGGGGAGAGGGGCATAGCCCAAAGCCCCAGAGGGTTTCAAAAGCCCCTCTGGAGACTGCCTCCACTCAAAGAGCCACAGACCCATTGTCTTTTAAGTGCAGAGACCTCCCCAACACACACAGACCACTCTCTTGCAGTGCCCGAAATGTCACTATCTGCAGATTTCTTTAGGCTAGCAAGTGTCCTCTTTTAAAAACATCCCTGGGATCAAGGTGAATAAGGTGGGCAAAATAAGCACCATGTTTGTAAAATACTTGTATTTAGCTAGTTATATGTACAGGGTATTTCAAAAAGTTTGTGGAAAGATTTGTATTATCTTTCAATTTTATTTTTCCACGAACTTTTTGTTTTGCAACCAATCTATATAAAAATATATCCATGTTGAAAAATAAATTCTGTGAGGGTTGGGGGCAAAGAAACTATCAAATATTCATTTCATAGTTAAATCCTTCAACAAGGTCACTTTCTCTCCCCATTTGAAGCTGGTGAGTGCGGCTGTCCCTATGCTATGAGGTATGTTTCTGTCTGGCGGGGATGCTCAGGTGAGAGGAGGCTTTGTATTTTGTCTCAGAAGAGGGGTGGATGGCATCCATGTGACTCCTGCCTCCTGCTTGTACCTCTGTGTTCCTGGAGACACACCTGGTCCCCTAGGAAACTTGGCAGGCCCAGGGTTAGCATGAGTGGCAGACCTAACATTTGCTCCAAGATACTTGGAGTCACACTTTATGGACACATCTCCAGGCCTCTAAAATGTTGATTGACTGAAGCTGCAAGCAGCTCCAGGCACCTCTTGCATGGTGGCCTGACCTGTCAAGGAGCAGCCAGTGCTGGCCAGATGCCTGACCTCCACTGCCGGGGTCCTGGTCCTGGCTGGGACTCACCGTATTCCGGAAGTCGCACGAACTCTGATGGCTCGCTGGGAAGGCTGATTCCCCAGGGATTACTGGCGCTGACTCTGAACTGATAAGGACACCCAGGACTAAGGTCTTCGATGACCAGATAAGTGTCCAAGGTGGAAGCTATCGACTGCTGCCAGACCTGGGAACCTGGTGCAGTTTCATTACTGGCGCTGACTCTGAACTGATAAGGACACCCAGGACTAAGGTCTTCGATGACGAGATAAGTGTCCAAGGTGGAAGCTATCGACTGCTGCCAGACCTGGGAACCTGGTGCAGTTTCCGAGGAGAGGGAAAGAGAAGAAGCCAAAGCAACATTGTTTCAAAGACTTTCAGCAAAGTAAGGAAAATTGACACATTCAATTCAAGGGACAATTGTGGTCACTGTGCTAGGCTCTGAAAGCCTGTGGGCCAACAGTGGCAGGTTTGGGTTCGATTTCATAAATGACTGAATAAATGGTGAAGAGTGCATAAGAAGTTGGCCTAAAGATTCTGTTTATTCTCAAATGTGTAAATGTGAGAGTGAAAAGACATAGATAATACAGAATTTACAGAGGATCATGTGATACATTTGTAATAAGGCTGGAAGACTATATTATAAGTTAAACAATGAGAGAAAATATGCATTTGGAAATTGAAACAAAATGGAAATTAACACGTACAGTACTGAGTACCGTGTAAATTACTGTGGAAAGTGTCTTCAACATAGTTCTCTCATTTAACTTTCTCACTTAAGTCCACAGAAACCACACGAGGTAGGGAGCATTAACTTTACTTTACAGATGAAGAAACCGAGCCTCAGAAATATTAAACAATGTACCCAAGAGTACTTAGTCAATAAGATGAAGTACGACTGAATAATGCTAAAGTAAGTATGAACTTTGTGAAATGTTCATTGTGCTGACCTGGGAAACACAAGAGCGGATGGCTTAAGAAAGATGCAGAAATAAACAGTTTTATAACTGCAGGGGGCCTGTTTGATAAAAGAGAAGAAGAGTTAAAATAAAACGAGTAATGGAAAGTAGAGTAAAATGGATGATTTTGGTTTGGGGGGGTCATGTAGTTGCTTTTAATTCAATTGTGTGATTCATAATGTGGTTCAGAGATGTGTTATTAACAATTAGAGCTATCTGGCAGCTTCTTATTTTAACTAATTCTTGATAACTAGTAGACAGGCTCAGCCGTTTCTAACTGCTGAAAAAAATACATGCACTGTAGCATGTAAATGTAACAAATTTTAAAAGTTTAAATTGCAGAATTTTAAACTACACAATTAAAAAATATACACACACCTATGAGACTGTCAATTTTATCTAGGGGCCGGGGGATAGAGCTCTGATCATACTACCCCAGTTATTACTCTGGGAGAAAGATCACAAATTAGCAAACTAGAGAGCAGGGTTCTAGTGGGAGAACCACTAATGAGGAACCTTAGCTTCCTCATTTGTAAAATGGGCCTGATCATCCTCAGTGATTGAGCATGTTAAATAGGGAAACGTGCAGAAAGGCACTTTGAAACCTGCCCTAGGTCATATACATGTCAGGGAGGTTTACATCATCTTAGCAAAAACAGCTGCTTGATGTTTAAGATCAGAAGGTGGCTGTAGTCTTGCACTCAGGCCCCTGTGCTGAGTTGAAAGACACAAGATGGAACAGCTTCTGAAAGACGAGGAGGATAACAGGTTTATAACTCTGAAGGATCTCCCTGAGAGGAAGAGAAGACAGAAAAAGAAGAGCAGGAGGAGATGGCGCACCTTCCTCTCTGTACTCCACAGTGTAACCAGAAATAGTGCAGTTGCCCGTGCTGGACGGGGGCAGCCAGCGGAGAATTACGGAGGTGCAGCTTCTCTCCTGGGCAATGGGGCGGTTCGGGGCTGCTGGAACACCTATGGAGACAGAAATCAGGATCAAGTGCTACTTCTACAGACCTTGGCATTTTCTACCAATGTGGAATGTCATCTAGGAGACATCACCTAACCTGTGTCTCAAATGTTTTCTATGACCTCTGTCAAGTGGCATATATTTCGTTAGGACCAAGAGAGACTGGGAGACAACTCTTGCTATCTGAAGTTCTTCCTTAGGCTAAATACTGCACACTGGAGATAAAGTTTGGTCAGAGAACTATGCAGAAGGTTTATGGAAGGCTACAGAGAGCTCGAAGCAAAGATTTGCTCTCTTCCCATTTGCTAGAACTTGATTTTGAAATTTTCACAATGGATTTTTTCTTCCCCAGGTCTCAGGGAACCCTTGTAATGTTCACTTAAAATGTTTGACTAACACAAATTCATAGACACAGAAAGTAGAATGGTGGTGGCCAGGGGCTGTGGGAAGGGGGGAGCGGGGAGTTACTGTTTAGTGGGTGTGGATGGAGTTTCAGTTCGGGAAGATGAAGGAGTTCTGTGAATGGATGGTGGTAGCACGAAATGTGAATGTGCTTAAATGCCACTGAACCGTACAGTTAAAAATGGTTAAGATGGCACATTTTGTGTTGTGTATGTTTTATAACAATTTAAAAAGTAAATATTTAGAAGATGTATTATAAAAAGTTTGACTAACAAAGAAACTGTACCTTGCACTTTAACTGTAGCAGATGTTGATGTGGTCCCATGGTCATTTGTTGCTATACAGGTATAAATCCCACTGTCTTGGGGCATCAGATTGCAGATCTTCAGGGTGATTTCCCCGGAATCACTAGAGACATTAAAAGGATATCCCTCAGATCCAGTAATGAGACAACTGACTGGTGGGTAAAACCCCATAGGGTTGGCACATGTTGTGCTGAGTTGAGGCCCAAAGTCTAGTCCCTGTTCTATTACCTACCTACACACCTTGAGTGATCACCTTGCCTCTCTATGTCCCCATCTCCTTATAATGGGGAATGATTTCTAGCCCTACCTATCTCTCAAGTTTTTTTTTATAAACAAGGGATAGAATAAGGAATAAAATGAGATAAGAATTAGAATATGTTTTGAAATATGCACAGTCTTATACAAGTACTGGTCCGCATTCCTATTAGTATTATTACCACTAGCAATTTTGTCCTAAAATATCTTGTCTCACAGATCAATAATGAACGGTACAAGAAAATGGAAAGACTAAAGAATGAAAACGTTCACATATTTCAAATTCTACATATGGGATTCTCAAAGTAAGTAAGTGAGTTAAGAGAGGGTAAATTCCTCCACCTAAATAACTTCCCCAGTTGTACCAGAGACATACTAAGGGCTCTGAAAGGGTTAAGTACAGAAGTCACAGTCAGCCCCACTCCCTCTCCAGTGGTCATGACATGTTCTGTTGCTCCTAATGATCCTCACCAAGCACTGACTCTCGCACTAAGCTCCTCGGGCCCACAGATATTTTATGACCTGGCCAGGGAGTCTCTGCTGGGAATACCAGGGAATAGTGGTCTTTTTCCATTTCACATGCACACAAATTAAGTCAATGGTTGAAAATGTCTTGATTCTAGGTGTTTCTTCCATAAGCGTTTCTTAAGCATTTAGGGCTTGCTACCTCTTGTCCACCATAAGCAGAAGCACACAATAAAGCTCATAATTAGTAGCAATATATGTTAACAGAATGACTGTGAGGCAGTCAGCCAAGAACCAAGTTCTGTTTCACGGCCTTCTCGTGTGGAAGCATGCTTACAGCTTAATGTTCTATTGCACATTTTGGAACGAGTCTTTTTTTTTTGTTCTTAGGTAAAGAATTAAATATTTCACTGTTTCACAGCATCCTGAAGGGCACAAACATACACCAGGATGTGCAGATTTGAGGACCACAGTTTTGCTCTACCTCTTCTGACATAGAGATGAGCCTGGGGAGCCTTAGGGAAAGATCATCTAATAGGGTGAGTATAAGGCAGTGACTCTAAAAGCCCTTCCAAACTACAGCTCATGCTTGACCTGGGATATAAAGGTTTATGTTTTTCTTTACTTGTTTAATGAGGGTCCAGAACGCAGTCTTTACAAACTGTTCTTATTGGTTCCAGGTATTTCTACATGGTGCTGAGTGACGTGTGAAGTGTGTGGTGCTGACCCAGGGTTCATTCACCAGGCTGAGCAGCTGGCTGCATTGAACCTAAAGCTCACAGCTCTGAGAGCTGTCCTGTGAGACTGAGCCACCTGTGGGTTTTTTTTTTTTCTTTTTGTCTTTTTTACTGACCGGTAATGGGATCGCAACCCTCGGTGTTGCACCCGTACCGGGGACCGGCAACGGGATCGCAACCCTCGGTGTTGCGCCCGCACCACGCTCAGCCAGTGAGCGGGAACCAGTCTCCACATGGGATCCGAACCCTCGGCGGGAGCGCCACCGTGCTCCCAAGCGGCGCACTCTCCAGTGCGCCACCGGGCCGGCCCCCACCTGTGGTTTTTGACTCAATCTGTCTCCTAATCAAGGCTAAGTGTTTGATCCAGAATAGGTGCCAGGGCAGCTATTCTCTTGGAGAGACTAGCAACCAGAAGAGAAGCAGCACCCCAGTGGTGCTGATGTTGGGGCAATCAGCTTACCAGGAGGAGACAGTGTATGTGGCTGAGCTGTTGTCAGTGTCGAGGATATTCTGGTCTGGACCCTTCCAGGTGATGATGGGCTTTGGCCGCCCACAGGCTTTGCACTGCAGTATCACTGTGTCCCCAAGCAAGCAGGTCACATCCACTAAGGGCACAAGGAATTCTGGGGCCACTGTGATCAAACCGACATGCATTCACGTCATTCAGAACAAACTTGGAATAAAACAGCCATTTTTTTAAACACAACACTCTCATTTCCCACCCACATTGTGTAAAGATTCAAATAATCCTCAGCACAACACTGTTGTGTCATCTGTGTCCCTTTAAAAGTATTTAAAAGTAATAAATGTTTATTGTAGAAAAACTATGAAATAGTAAACAAGAAGAAGCAAAAGCTCCGTGGTGTCATGATCCAGAGACAACTACTGTGAACATTCTGGTATGTTTCCTTTCAGACTTTATATAAACACACATCTTCTGACCAAAATTGAATCCCATTATACTTGTATACATTGCAAGCTGTAGTCTTTTCACCTGACAGTTTATCGTACAAACATCTTTCCTTATCCATAAGTAGAGAACTATATCACTATTGTCTAAAGGCTGTATCTTAATGCTAGATTTACCATAATTTATTTAGCCAATCCCCACATTCCCAATTCTGTCGCTTTTTAACTCACCTTCTTGGATGAAATTTGGATTTAAGATCTGAAAAACACAAAGAAACAGAAAATTGTTTGAATTCTAAACTACTAAAACAGAACAAGAGACTTTTACCCTGTTGAGTAAAAAGAAAGCACAATTTAGGGAGATGAGGCCTGGAGCCCAACCTCTCTTTGTTGGGATATATCACTGCACAGTAATAAAATGCTCAACAACAAAGGGCACTTGGTTTACTTTCCTGTCTAATCTAGTTGTTTACTTTCTCTCCTGGTGGTGTATGGCCCCTGTAGCTGGTCTTTCTGTCCTCTCTCTCCTTGGCTGCTCTCTTTCCCTTCCCATGTATAAAACCCCACTCTCCTCCCATTCAGTACTTCCTAAACAATGCTATGACACTAATTCTTCCTACTGTCGTAAATTTTCAAAAACAGAGGACCTGAGACTTATCAAACTGGAGGGTCACTGAAATGAACTAACCCAGTCGTTTCCTTCCAGATGTTCTCCCTCTACTTCCTCCACCCCAAGCAGGGGAAGCTTCTCTTCAAGTGGCTAAATGCAGAGCTTCCCCAGTTGAAGGGGAACAAGAGAAGTCCATAAATTTTCAAAAACAGAGGACCTGAGACTTATCAAACTGGAGGGTCACTGAAATGAACTAACCCAGTGGTTTCCTTCCAGATGTTCTCCCTCTACTTCCTCCACCCCAAGCAGGGAAAGCTTCTCTTCAAGTGGCTAAATGCAGAGCTTCCCCAGTTGAAGGGGAACAAGAGAAGTCCAGTATGTCCATCCTGTCCCCAGCATGACCTCCTGTAGCCTGGGCCTTCATAGGACAACTTGGAAACTGCTGACCTAACCGTTCTAGCCCTTTTTGCTGCATGGGTAAAAAATGAGGACTTAGGCTGACTAAGTGACTTGTCCCAGTCACATCCTGGATCTTTTGCAGAAGGGAAAATGTCCTAGCCAACTGGCCATTCTGGAAAGTTACCCCTTCTTGAGAGGGCGGTCACTTTGTGTTACCTCTGATCACTCAAGTCCAGGTCATAAGACCTCGCGTGGTGAAAACAGCATGGGCTTTGGAGTCAGAGAGGCTGAGGTCACCTGTTTTATTTAATGTGATTTTATGCTAATTACTTCAAATTGATTAGCATCAATTGCCTCCATTATAAAGTGGGGATAAATAATACCTAGTGCAAAGTGCTATCACCAAGATTAAATGAAATCAAGTTATGTCAAGTGCATAGCACAATGCTTGACAAATAAGTACTCAGTACCTATTTAAATAACGATCAGCTAATTCTAATCATCTTCCTTCTGCTGAGCAGCCTATTATTAAAGAGATTTATCTCAGTTTATTTTGCAGAGTTCTTCTTTCCCTCATAATGAAGCCAGAAAACTCATGTGCCTTATGAAATAGCCCACCTGGGGCCTTCACATTTATCTCCCTGTTACCTATGTCTTATATGAACATGCATGGCTTCTGTGTGTTTTCCCTTGCAGAGGGATCCACATGAGCCCTTTGGAACAAAGATGCTATTTCCTTCTTTGGGTTCCTCTTTGCAAACCAACTGCCTGTTTACACCACCCGTGTTTTTCACAAAGTGGGCTGCAGAAAACCATTGCAGTGCCAAGTTCTGGGCTGAGTGTCCCGATTCTGGCCACTGAAGTGCCCTCTGCTAGTCTCAAAAGGCCACTCACACCACTGCTCAGCTTTCCTTTAAATCAGTGGTTCTTAATAACCCAGACACAAAAGGGACAATTCCCGGGCCTCATGCCTAGAGATTCTGGTGTGAAGTGGGGTCTGGGCATCAGAATTTTTGAAATCCCTCTGAGGTGAATTACCTGTAACCTGGTTTGAGGAACGCTGCGAAAGTTCCCCTCTATCCAAGGGTACTGAGCTCAGAAAAACAAACTTCTTGTCTCTGGGGCTTTTCTGGGGTGGGATGGGGGATGCATGCGGGCATTTGGTAAAAGCTACTGCTTTTCTCACACCTAAGAGACTGCTTTATGTGAAAAGGTTCTGGGCCATGGTAGGGGAGGGTTAGTAGACAGTGAGCAGTTAGTAGACACGGTAAGCAGAACTGCATCACCTGTAGGGGGTGCTGGGGAAGCCATACATTTATCATGCAGGCCCAGGTAAGGCAGGGAGAATGACATCCAAATCAGTCACTTGACAGTAAAAAGAAAATGAGGCTGAGAATGTTTTCTAAACAGTAACAGTGGTTATCTCAGGGTGGTGGGATTAAGGATGGGTTTCCAAATATTCTGCAGTCAGCACATTTCACTTTTGTAGCCCAAGGTCTGCTGCTTAATGGGCATTTAATACATGTTGGTGAATACATATTTGACCTTTGACCTCATTTCAGTTCTCCCAAGAATTTAGGACTAGTTCGTCTCAAACTAGGATCAAAAGGTCTATGAAATAATTAGTTCTTGGTATATGACTAATAATACTTGACTACAACCTGTTTGCAAACACAGAATGCAAACTTTTTGAAAAATGATTAAAAACAATATAATCCATAGCCTTGGAGAGGGGAGGTTCTCAGCAGCAGGCTGGACAGAAGAGAGTGCAAACCGTGGCAGCAGATGGAGCACACAGTGTCCAGACCCTAGGCCAGACATACTCTTTTGCCTTGGACAACCCTTTTAAGCAACTGCCTTAATTTTATCTGTGAATTAGAGATAATAATGCCCACCTGGAAGGGTTATCTGATGTAAGAACTCAATTTATTTGATGAAGAGTTACTGAGCTGACCCTTGGTCAGGTGGTGGTGACTAGGCCAGGAGGGAGGCAGACATGCTCACCAGCCTCAGTGGGCCAACAACCTAGTGGGGAAGATGGAATGAAATGACATTTGCATTTGATGCAGTGTCTGAGAGATGTTAATGACCAGCCTTCAACAAACATGGAGCACTCCCCTCTCCCCACCACCCCACCCCCACTCAATCAGAAGGACCCTAGGATAGAGACAATTTGGAAATGCTGCCAGCTTTGTTCGTGGCCTGTATTTTCCATCATGATGGGAATCCACAAGGGAGCAAGACACTTGGTCCAAGCCAGGAGTCTCACAGAGGAGACAAATGACAAATGGAAGACACAGAAGCAGCAGGTTCAGATGTTATATAATTTTAAGTGGGGCTTCCTAAACCTGCACAGTGGCAGTATTTTTGTAAGAGCTGAAAGGACATCTTGCCATATTTCCTCTTTCTCATCACATAACCCCAACTGTGTTAAGTATATTATTAAACACACACCCTATTTAAAAAGCAAATATTCCTAATTTGGGTGTAGACTAGCAGAAACATTGGCAAGAAATGTTGCCAATAAGGATTAATTGCGGGTACTCCCTCTGGAAGGGACTTGTGGAAGTCACCAGTCTTGGTTCCTCTGCCTGTTGGCTGGCCCAGGTGAGGAGAGCCCAGTTAGGCACAAGGTGTTGCTGATAATGGTAATAACATCACCGATTTGTGTACCATTATACATCTGGCATACACTATTCACAAACTCCTTCATTTGCTCCTCCAAAACCCTGGAGGACGTCCAGAGCAAGTGTTATTGATCCCCATCTCCTAGATGAGACAGGGAAGTGAAGTGCGAGATCGTAGAGCGACTGAGGACCGCATCCGAGAGCACGTGAGTTTTTGCCCAGTGCTCTTTCCATCTAGCATTCGGCGCAGTGGGAGAGGTTTGGGAAGAGCATTGTGAAACCTTGTCATCGATGTCAAAGGCCTACCGGCTTAGCTTTGTGCCGCACCTTTCTTCCCATCCCACTTCTACTCAATCCTCCTCTTTAAGTTCCTCCAGCAAGGACAAGAGCCTGGGCAAGATCCACGCTAATGTTTTTTCTAACTTTGACTCTGGGTCATGCCCATAGAAGATTCCTCCCTCATTTTCCCTCTGTTTTGAAGCAAATCAGAGTGTGAACTGGAAGACAGTCTTGACTCCCTTCTCACACAGTAGCCTAATCACCTCTGGATTTGTCTGTGGCTCCCTATGGACTACAAGGCCCAGGAGCACAAGGACCATGTTGTTTTGTTCACTACTATTACCTCTGAGCCTAGCACAATGCTAAGGCTCCATTGTCAAATCAATGAAAACTTACAGTGGTGGGACCCTAACTTGGGGGAGGGGAGCTGAGAAAATATCTCGCCATGAACTTGGAGTGTCCTCTCATTTCCATTAATTGGGAGTGTGATTTGCTCAGGAACCTCATCAGTCAATGTCTGAGATTTAGTCAATAGTGATCTTCCTCCCTGGCACTCTTCTAGGGGCCGGTATCTCTAGCTCTGATCATGACCTGCCATGTATCATAACGTCTTACCCACATTGTATTTGCCCTACCAGGCTTGTGAGCCTTTTGAAGATAGTTACCCTTTCTCATGTTTTATGTACTTTCAGTCATGGCGTTTAACATAGCATCTAGAACACAGCAGAAGATCAAATATTTGTTGAGTCAAATTAACTGAGGCCCCTCAATCAGTAGACTAGGATTTAGGTCTCCTGACCACCTTGTCTAGTGATCATTGTTAGTGTGTGCACTAACACACTGAGGTGTGGGCCTGGGACCTGAGGGGTTAATCATAAGCTGCATGTTTCTTGAAACCTAATGTTTTCCTTCTTTAGAAACAGATGGGCAGGAGGAGAGAACTGGAATCTGAAATAGAAGTGGTAGCGGAGGAAAAGATGACACTGTTCACATTAAACACCCATGTTCTCTCTCTGGAGGATGCCAGGCAAAGCCCAAGAGGACAAGGCTGGGAAAGACAGTGTGGGGAAGAGCTACTTAGGAATCTGGCTTTATTTGAACAGCAGAGGGCGGCAGGTGGCAGTGCTTCCTCCCAGACACAAGAACCAGCACAATGTGGTCCATCAGCAACTTAAGTTTCTTCTTTCTGGAGAGAAATCCAATTGTTTTCTTGATTTTTCTTCAAAATGGAAGGTCAGTGAGGTGAGAGGAAAGAGTTACAGGTAAAACCAACCAGCACTGAATAACATATGCTGAGCTTTGAGGAAATCTTGAGTCCATTTTTCTTGCCAAGACTGACTGTGA